AGGAGGAGGAGGAGGAGGAGGAGGAGGAGGAGGAGGAGGAGGAGGAGATTTCCACCATGGGGCATCACCAGTGAAAGTGCAGGGAGCGTGCTCTGTTCAACAAGCCACCATCCGGCCTCCACCTGAAGACCTCAAACCATGGGGATCTCAGCACGTGTGAGGACCGCAGGGATGGTGGCCCAGACCACTTCATTCCACTCTAATGGACCCATCTGAGACTTTTCACTTCTTCCACATCCCAGGCTCTGCCTTGGAGGCCGACCCTTCCCAGCCTTCCAGGCCACTCTGCATCCTTGCCGCTTCTCTCCACGTCCTGATAACGGAGTTCTCGTGTGTCCAGCTCCAAAGGCCGTCTCCCTAGTGGAGTTACTCTTCAGCCCCTCACCCTTGGTGCCCGGCCCAGAAACGGAACTCTGGATGGAGCCTGACCAGGGCACAGGCAACCAAGGTGGCGCTCTCCTCAGAGGGACAGAGCGTGGGCTTAGATTTTGCCCCTTAGTTTATATTTTAGCACATTATTTTTGTTAGCTTAAATTTATCAATAAAAATGTAAAGATTTTTTTTTAAAAAGATCAAAATCAAAGCAAGTCCTTTAATTAACAGAAATCTCTGTGCCTTCCATAATAACCTCTGCCACGCTAACGTGTTCCAAGGACCAAGAGCGAGTTATCGGGGGTTCTCCCCCCGGACCCCTGGCACCTCCACCACACCATCCCATCTCCATGGGGAAGCCCATGAATCTCTAACAATTCCACATCCGCCTGCCAGACCTCCACTTCCATCACACGATTCTCCTACCCACCCATGCTCACGTCTCCTGCGATGCTAGAAACAGTGCGCGTCTTAGCTGAGGGCCAGAGGGGTGTACGGAAGGGGCAGGACCAACACCCCAACCCTGCACCAAACCACGCGCTTTACAGGACGAGGAGAGGAGCCTCTCCTCCAGGTCACTCCAGCACAATCATTCCATGGAGACAGAGAGCTCTGGGTCCCAACACGGCTCCGACACACAAGCTTCCTCTCTGCGGGCAAGTCAGGACTGGCAGAGCCAAGCTCTGCGCCAGGGGAGCGTGCCGATATCGATCCTGCCCGTGATGTTGAGGACAAAGAGCAGCAGAGGGAGGAAATGGCGACGCGTGGCTTTGGAAGAACCCCGCCACCCTCCCAAATGCCACCACAGCACTTGTGACCCTCAGCTCGGAGAGGTGATCTCTTCCAGACACGGCCCAGCCCCCAAACCTGTCGATTGTGGGGGAGGGGAGGACCACACGTCCTCACCCCCAGCGCTGGTACTGCAGAGTCCGCCAACCCAACACTCCCTTGGCCACATCTCACCATTACTACTGCAGACGGTAACGACGCCTCCTCAGAAGTAGAGACCAGGTTGGCACCACAAAATCCCCTCCATATTTATGGGGCGGGAACCACAGGCTGGGCCTGGCATGGCAGCGGCGCTCCACCCCCTAGACCTGCGCAGGGAGAACTCTGGACAGCCTGAGCTCTCCCACCCAAGTCCCCGGGGAAGTCCCTCCACTGGCCACCCCAAGAGGGGCCCACCCTCTCCCTCCAGGGCCCACCTCCTTACCTTCTGAATACAGAGAAATAAGTAATAGAGCACGTCTGCCTCATAGCTGGAGCCGTCCTGCCTCCTGGCCTCCTGGGTCATCAGGCAGAGGCCTTGGTTCAGCTCTGCTATTGGCACAGAGAGGACGTCTTCCTGAAAAAGGGTGGGTTTTCTTCCTAGAACATCAAAGGGCACCTGCCGTTAGTCTGAAGTTCTTTCTCACCGACTCCCTGCCTTCTTTAAACCAACACCAGCTTCACTACTTGGGACTCGTGCCACTCGGCAGCTTGGCCTATCCCTGCCAGCACCAAGCCCTGGGCCCGGCCCCCAGCTCACGACTCTGGGCAGAGGACCAGGAAATCAGAGTGCTTTGCACGGTGCCCGGCACACAGTAGGTGCCTAATGAATAAAGAGCCTCGGGGGAATCGCCTTCTCTCTCTACAAAGATGGGCAGAAGCTGAGCCAAACGAGCATCCCTACTTCCTAGTCCCTGAGGTTCATTTTCTGCCTTCTCCAGGATCTTTTCATTCTTCCTCTGGGCCCAGCTCTTCCAGAACAAAGCTCCTTCCTGCGGCTGCAGAGTCGACGGCGGGTCTCGATCGGCCTCGAGCAGGGAGCTCGCCTCGGGGAGACAAGCCAGCTCCGCTGGGGGCTGTGTGGAAACAAACACACAGAAGGGGTCTGCGTGGGGGCGAGAGCCCCCAGCCATGGCCGCCTCAGCCGCCCTTCTCCAGAGCCCACTTTTTAGGATGAGTGGCTGGGCTTCAGTCTTCAGGGGGAAAGTCAACTCTCAGATAAGGGAGAACTCATCCCAAGCAAGATGAAGTTCACTTTTAAAGATCAGGGAGCAGCGAAACCTACTGCAGCCCACCCCCCCGCCAAAAAGTGGGGCCATGAATCCCAGGTCATCACCTGGCCACCAGCTGCTCTTTTCTGGCACCCTCTGACACCCTGCACTGACCCTCCCGAGTGCCCGCAGCAGCAGGCATGAGGACTCTACCCAGGACCTGGAGGGGGCCCCAGAGTCCTGGGGGTACCTGCTGTTGGGGACAGCGAAGAAGGGGTCGACCCCCAGCTTGTTTTCTCTGTTGTACTGTATCTCTCTCTTTTCTAGTCACCAAGACTAGACCGTTCACAAGGATGGTCCTTAGTCACAAATACTGATCTTCTCAACTTTATCCCTTCCCTCACTTAAACAAGTGAGGCACTACCGCTAATAACAGCTCGCATGTTCACCAAGCACTTTCCTCAAAACAATCCCATGAAACAGAGTGTGCTGCAAGGATGCTTCTTCCTACTTTACAGATGAGGAAACTGAGGCTCAGAGAGATGGCATGACCAGCCTGGGGTATTAGGTAAGGCCTTCTCAGGCCCCTGAGCCCAGTGTTCCTTCCACCGCACAACTCGGCCTTTGCTATCAAGAGAAGATGTGCGGCCTCACAGGTTGCCTCCCTCCATGCATCATTCAAGGCAGCCCCAGAGAGCCGAGGCCCCCATTGTGCCTGGCATCCTCCTTTCCATAAATCTGCCTTGAACATATCTAGAGGATGCTTACTTAGATACATGCTGCCTCTCCCAACACAAGGGAAGCTCGTTCAGGACGGTCTCATGAATGAACAAATAAATGAATGAAGGTGTTAAGGGATTACTGTTTGCCAGGCATCGAGTTAAGTGCTAGGGGTACAGATATAAAAGCAAGCTGGTCCCTGCCCTCAAAGCACTTCTGTACTAATGGATCAGCCCCCAGCAGAGGCCTCTTACCTGGCCACTTGATAAATGCTGGCTGTTTGATCTGTTGAGGCATCTCTGCAGGTCTGTTTTTCATTGGGGGCGGGGGAGAGCCACTATTGAAAACTCAGTCAGCCCTAGGAGGGGCAGCCCAGGACAAAAGCATTTTCTTTGCTTATCTGTTGCTTGTTCACTCATTCATCTTAAAAGCTGAGGATTTTAGGGATATTTTACTGTTTCACGTATTTATTGGCTCTGATGATGATTAAGTTCATGATGGAAAGACAGAAAGATAAGAACAGCAAGAAGAAAAATGAAAACCAGCAAAGAGAGGCATGGCGTACACCTCGATCTCAAAATGGACCACAAACGATAACAAAAATCCATGTGGTCCTCGGAGAAAAAAGACACACAGTGAGGGGCAGAGACAGGGAGAGAGACACAGGCACAAAGAGAGAGAGAGACACAGGCACAAAGAGAGAGAGAGACAGGCGTAGAAAGAGACAGAGAGGATGAGAAACAGGAAGAGACACAGGTGCAGAGAGAGAAGCATAGAGGGAGGGAGACAGGGAGAAATAGATAGGCAGAGAGACAGACAGGTGTAAAGACAGAAGGACAGGCACAGAGAGCGACAGAGAGAGGGAGAGAGACAGGCAGAGACACAGGTGCAGAGAGAAGCATAGAGGGAGGGAGACAAAGAGAGGGAGAGACAGGCAGGGAGAGAAAGGGCACGAGGGAGACAGAAAGAGATCTGTGTTTGTTGAACTGAATCCATCAGAACAGAGGACCCCAGCCCAACTTATAGAGAGCCATACTCACATGTGTGTGTCCACACAAGGTTAGTGTTCGAGAAACCCACACTTAAATGCTGGGAAGTAGACTGTCTCTTCAGTTGAAAACTACCAGGAAAACTGGCTGGCCAAAACCAAAACCTAGTCGAGGGCCTTGGCTGCCCACCAGAAGAAATTACCTGGGTCAGTGATTTTTTTTTTTTTCCAATTAAAAAACTGGAAGGAAAAGAAACAATAGACTTCTCTACTAAGGAAAGGAAGAACATTTTTATCAAACAATAGAAGAAATCACTGAAAACAAAATTCATGGGCTTAATTATACAAGAACAAAAAAAGACTTCACATGGCAAAAAACAATCTCTAAATTTAAAAGAGAAAGACTGAGGGAAAATATTTGAAGTAACTTTACCAAAGGCCCATCATTTAGAATCTATAAAGAAAAAGGCATATCTGCAATATTATGTAATCTCTAATTATGCAGCAAGCTAAAGGACATGCATTAGCAGGCCATCTACATGGGAGTATTTGTAGAAACAAATAATAAACTGCTAATAACCACATGAAAAGATGCTCACAATCCCTAATAATCTAGGAAAGGCAAATGAGACAAACAACATCCCACCTTACATCTGTCAGAATAGCAAAAGTAGCACTAAGTTATCAAGGCCCAGTGTTGGCAGGATAACTGATGGGCACTGATACATTGTTGGTGGTGCTGCAGCCTGCTGCAAGTGTGGGTCAGGGAAATAAGGCAATGTGCAGTAAATCACAAAACATCCTATTCTTCTGCCAGCCCAGTCATCATTCCAAAATATCACAAACAGGACAAAAGGGACCAGAGTATCACAGTTGCTCTATTTGTAACAACAGAAAAATGGGAATAACAGTGGAGCAGAAGGGGAGAACGGGAGAGAAGTGACAGCCTGTTGTGTCATGGAATATGAAAGGTGGGAGAAAACACGGGAAGCCTCCGCAAAGTCACACGGAGAGAAGGAAGGTGGCCTACCCGCCAGGCCTGCCACCCACCCTCGCAGGCAGAATCAGGAGGCAGCGGCTTAGACACGCAGAGAGCCTGGAGCACGGTGGGCACGTCCAAGGGACAGCATCAGAGGGAGCCACATCCATCGTAGTGAGAGCAGCGGAAACCTGCCCATCTCTTCCCCCTTCTTCTCTCCCCTTCCTTCTCTCCCCCTCCTCTCTTGGCCCTTTTATCTCTTCCACCTCCCTCCTCTCCCTTCCTCCTCCTCCTCCTTCCAGAGCTTACTTCGCCCCTCCAGGCCTCCAGAAGAAAAGCCTGAAGAGCAGGGAAGGATGATGCCCTCAGTTCTAGATGCCTGCCAAGAGACTCTCTTGACAAGACCTCAATGACCCAGTGTCCCACGGTCTGCACTGTGTGAGGGGGCCCTGAGGAAGGCGGGAAACATCTCCTACTGACGAAAGTTGGGTGCAGACTTTCTAGTGTTATAGGAATGCCCCCAAAGGTCACTGCTACGGGCCCACCAAGGGAAGTCCCAACAAGCTACCAAACCCCCAGTAGGAAACTGCCTGAAACATCAAGTTGGCCAACCTCCTCAAAAATTGACCCCAGGCAGCCCAGAGCGAGTGGAAAGAACACACTGGTCCTGCAGGCGAGACCCCAGCTCTGACCCTGAGATGCATCTTGCCCAGCCCTGCCCAGAAGCCTGGGGGACGTCAGTAAAACACTTACGAGCAGCTGCTCTGGAGTCCAGTACTGAGCTGAGGAGCAGGTCCTTTCTCCCACTTGGCCCAGGATGGGGATGGGAGCACTGGCATTGACAAAGTCCTCTGGGAAGCTAGAGGAGACCAGGGCAGATGGGTCCTGAAGGTTCTTCCCGGACCCTGACGTGTCCTGCGGGTTTTCGCTGCCTCCCTCGAGGCTCAGCAAAAACCCATCCCCAGGCAATGCCCTCATGGGAAGCCCATCACAAAGAACCGGAGAAGAAGTGAGGGGAATGGTACGGGCCCCCGGGCCGATGCCAAGCGTGGGGAAAGCAGACCAAGAATCCACACTGAGCAGCTGGCCCATGGCTGAGGCAGGTTCGAGTTCATGGTCATAGAGCTGACTGCTGTCCACTGTCAACAGCTCTGGGAGTAGGGACGCACCAGGGAGTGGCAGTGAGGTTTGCCCAAGAGACAGCGGGCTGTGGGACAGAGGCGACCTCAACGGAGAAAGGTCGTCACCAGGCAGGTTGAGCTTCCTTCTCTTCAGGGGCTGAGAAACGTCAAGAGAATCAGGTTCGCTGTCCTGCTGCTTCTGCTTCTCCGGGGAAGGCCAGACAGCCACGTGCAGCTGCCCCAGCGTGACCTCCGGGCACGGCTGGAGTCGCCCGGGTGACGAGGAGGGCTGATGGGCCTCCAAGGAGAGCCCCGGGACCGTTCCTAGATGAGGCAGAGGGAACGTAACAGATCGAGCCAGCTCCAGGAGCGAGTCTGCTACAGCCGTGGGCTCGACGTACTCCAGGTGTCCTTCTGGGTAAAACGGAGCTGGGTGATGTCCGGCGTGCTGCCCGGCCTCCAGCCCAGAAGCAGAGAAGGCGGCCAGCCACTCAGAGAGGGGCTGCTGCGGCATCATGGGGGCCGTCATCCTGACAGGGTCCTCAGAGAGGACGGGATGCTCCAGAGAATGCCTCATCCTCCGGGTAACTGAAAACAAGCACAGAGAAGCAGGGGCTTATGATGCTGGCCCCCCCAAGCACCCTTACTGAACGGGGCGTTAACAACGGGACTTGCTGAGTACAGAGGCCAGCGAGAGGTTGGCTATCCAGACAGCCGACCCCTGCTCCCGAGGCTGGCCTCTTCCTAGCTTGGGCAGTCTGGGATTTCTTGCCAGGGACGCCCCACAGGGGATTCTTGGGCAGGCCAGGAGTCCCAACTAGAATCCTCCTTGGAGGTCCCTCACCTCATCACGGACTGTTCCTCAAGGGATCTGACCCCAACATACCCCGACACCCTCAGCCTGCCTCCATCCCTCACCCTCTTGCCAAGGGTTCCAGAAAGTGAAAGGAATCACGTAGACCAGAAAGAACACTGGCCCTGCATCAGCAGACCTGCCTTCAGGCTCTGAGAAGAGAGGGCAATTAGGTGGCACAGTGGATAAAGCGCTGATTTTGCAGTTAGAACCATCTGAGTTCAAATCCTGCCTCAGATACTTACTAGCTGTGTGGCCCTGGGCAAGTCACTTAACTCACTTAACCCCTACCAATACAATAAAAATGACAATTCTACCTAAGTTAATTTACTTATGGAGTGTCATGCCAATCAAACTACCAAAGAATTACTTTATAGAGCTAGGAAAAAAACTAACAGAATTCATCTGGAAGAACAAAAGGTCAAGAATATCAAGGGCATCAATAAAAAAAAAAAAGTGACGGAAGGTGGCCTCATAATACCAGATCTCAAACTGTATTGCAAAGCAGTAATCATCAAAACAATCTGGTACCAGCTAAGAAACAAAGTGGTGGATCAGTGGAATAGATTAACAGAGCAGTAAATGACCACAGTAATCTAGTTGTCTGACAAACTTAAAGATCCAAGTTTTTGGGACAAGAAATCACTATCTGACAAAAATTGGTGGGGCCACTGAAGAGCAGTTCGGCAGAACCTAGGGATAGGGCAACATGTCACACATCAAAATGGGTACACGATTTAAATATAAAGAGTCATATCATAAGCAAATTAGGGGAGCGTGGAATAGTTTACCTATCATATCTATGGAGATGGGAAATGTTTATGGCCAAACAAGAGATAAAAAGCATCACACGATATAAACTGGAAAATTTTGATTACAAAAAATTAAAAAACTTTTACATAAATAAAACTAATGCAGCCAAAATTAGAAGTAAAACAGAAAACTACGGAAAAAAAGTTTTACAACAAGGTTCTCTGATAAAGGCCTCATTTCTCAAATATACAGGGAACTAAGCCAAATTTATAAAAATTAAGGTGCCATTCCCCAGTTGACAAACATCAAAGGATATGAACAGGCAGTTTTCAGAAGAAATTAAAACCATCAATCGTCACATAAAAATTCCCTAAATCACTACTCATTAGAGAAATGTAAATGAAAACAACTCTGAGATACCACCTCACACCTATCAGATTGAAAAATTGGAACACTAATGTATTTTTTTTCGTTTTTTTTTGCTTTTTTGGTGAGGCAGTCAGGGTTAAGTGACTTGCCCAGAGTCACACAGCTAGTAAGTGTCAGGTGCCTGAGGCCAGATTTGAACTCGGGTCCTCCTGACTCCAAGCCAGAGCTCTATCCACTGTGCCAACTAGCTGACCCACACTAATGCATTACTGATGGAGTTGTGACCTAGTCTAATTATTCTGAAGAACAATTTGAAACTATGCCCAAAGGGCTTTAAAACTGTGCATATCCTTTGACAGAGCAATACCGCTACTAGATACGTATCCCAGAGAGATCACAGAAAAGGGGAAAAAAGTATTTATACAAAAATATTTACAGCAGCTCTTTCTGTGGTGGCAAAGAATTGTAAACTGAAGGGATGCCCATCCACTGGGGAATGGCTGAACAAGTTGTGGCATATGAATGTAATGGAAAACTATTGCACTATAAGAAATGACAAGCAGAGTGGTTTCAGAAAAATTTGGGAAGACGTATATGAACTCATGCAAAATGAAGTGAGCAGAACCAGGAGAATAGTATATATAGTAATGGGAATATTGCAAGGATGATCAACCGTGAAAGACTTAGCTACTCTGATCAAGACAGTAACCCAAAACAATTCTAAAGGACCCATGACAAAAAATGCTATCCACCTCCAAAGAGAGAACTGATGTACTCCGAATTCAGAATGAAGCATAATTTTTCACTCTTTATTATTATTGGTTTTGTTTGTGTTTTCTTTGCAGCATGGCTAGCTAATATGGAAAGTAAATAAGAGAGCAAGCAAGTAAATGAATGAATGGTAGGAATCACCATCCTATGGCAAATCTTAAAAAAAAAAGATATAAGGTTAGTCTGGCATGGTCTAATCTTAAAGATGTCAGACTGGCTCTTTGTGATCACTGCTTCCTTTTCTCAATGTTCACTAACCATCCCTTTAATAATAAATTCTAGAATTTTCCAAGGAATTATAGTCAAACTATTTGGCCTGAGGTTTGAAGACTTTATCCTCCTCTTTTCGGAAAATCTTGACAACAAATGCTCTTCTCCAAACCTGTGATCCCATTCTCCATAATCTTTCAAAGATCACCAACAGGGGCCACATCTTCCAGTTCTTTCCAGTCTCTAGAATGTACATAGTGCCTCTGCATGAACCAAGTGGCTTCAACTCACCAAGAGCCGCAGACAGCTCTTTCACTATCTCCTTACTGATCTACTCTCTTCTGGACTGTCTCTAAACCAAAACTCATTCTCCTCGGCACAGAAAACAAAGATAAAGTAAAAGTGAGCCCTGCCTTTTCTCTGTTGCCCAGTATCACTCAGTTCCATCAGTGCTGGGTAGTGGTCATCTCAGCCTTTTGTCTGTAATCATCAGAAGCTCAAGTTCCTTCTCAATCTTAGCACTCCAGGCCCACACCGTGCTTTTGTGTTCATCCTTTGTTACCCTGGTCTCACCTCCATCTTTTTTAAGGTTGCTTGATAATCTAAGCTTTGTTTCTTTAGAAATTTACCCCCTTTTCCTCCTCAGAAGTCTTTCTCTTTTGTCTCTTTCTCTTTTTCTCGTCATAATTTCACTTGAGCACTTCCAACCCCTCTTGAGCTGAACTTCCTGAGAGGATCTCAGTCCCTGGGACCAATCAATCCTATCCATCCTTTCTCTAAATGCTTTGAAATCTGCTCTCTCAAAATTTAAGTTATGACATCTCTAGCTAGTCCCAGATTTCTTCTGAAGCACAAGTCTAGGATGGAGTAATCACTTCCTCCCACAGTTCCATCCCAACAACCAATTCTTCTCTACTGGTGGACGTCAAAGATAGATCAGATATTGGTTCCTCTGCCTTGACGAAGGGGATATTACCATTAAGACTGGACATCTGAGGTCTCTTCCAGCTTCTCAGGCTGAATGGGTTTCACGTCATTGGCAGTTCCCTCACCAGCCCTCTCTCATCTGAAATTCTCCACCCAATGAGGGAGCCCCTTCCTTATCCTCAATCCCGATCCTGAAAACACACCTACCCTTGATCTTAGGTGATAATGTGCATCAATCAACAAATATTGCTTGAGAGTCTAAGCTGAGTCTTGAAATATGAGACCCAGTCAGGACCTGCAAGGGAGTTTGTCCCCAAGTCTGACAGATGAGACAACACAGAAAAAATGAAGACATCAACCATAGTTCTAAAGAGGAGCAATGATGGTGCCTTCACGGTCATGGTGCTTTAAGGTAGGCAAAACAATGACCTCACAGACAGCCCTGAGAGGTGGGTGATGTTGGGTCATGAGCTCTACGTTACAGACATCACAAAGCACTCTGATGACCTGCCACAAAAGGGATCAGGGAAATGACAGCTGGAGGAAGGCCCATGAAAGAGGCCTGGTTCTGGGGTCAAATGAGGGAACTGGGTCGGGGAGAGCCTCTGAGGAGAGAGAAGATGGCCTCTAAGGTCCTTTCGCGCTCTAAGTCTGTGGTGCTGAATTCAGGCTGGATGTCATCTCGGGGCTGGGCATCATCTCGCCCAGAATGAATGTCCACTCTACAACATACCTGACTAAGGGTCACCTCCAGCAAGGGGGATCCTACCGCTTCCCACGGGAGCCCATTCAACTTCAGACAGTGCTCACAGATAAGACTCTCCTCCTCTCATGCTGAAATCTGCCTCTACATTTCTACCTCTGGTTTCAATCCTTTCCCCGGGACCACACCAAGTTCAATCCCTGCTCCACACAACAGCCCTCCCAGTCCCCAAAGTCACTATGTCCAGGGCCCCTTAGATCTTCTCCAAGACAAACATCCCCCTTCATTCCACTGAGTGAGGCCCTTAGCCAGGTTGGCAGGTACATTTATGAAGCACCTACTATGTGCCAGACCCTGTACTAAGCACTCTCTCATTTATCCTTCCTAAGCTGTGGAATCCAGAACTGAGCCCACGACTCCAGGAGTGGTCTGACCAAGTTTCAGGACGGCAGGAACATCACCTGTCTCCCTTATGCCAGACCCTAAACCTCTTTTGATTCAGCCTAAAATGACCCGACCTCTTCTGTCTTGTCCCAGCTGACTCACTGAGCTTGCATCCCACTAAACACTGAGGCCTTTTTCACATGTGCTATTATCTGGCTCTAGGCTCCTGTCTTATACTGGTGAAGCTGACTTTTTGGAACCCGAGTGTAAGACTTTGCACTCACCCCTATTCTATTTCCCCATATTCAATCAGTCCATTGTCCTGGTCTATCAAGATCTTGTTGGATCCCGAAAGTGACCTTCTGAAATGGCAGCTCGGCTCGGCTCTGCTCTCCTCTCTGCCTGGGGTGGCCTGCAATGCTCTAAATCTTCATGGAAGCCAATGATGAAATTAACACCATACAGGGTTAAACAGCATGAAGCCAAGAGCAGCTAGAACCCCAGGACACTCCTTTAGAGACCTGCCTCCAAGCTCTATTTGAGGTTCATTCAACCACTTCTCAATCCACTTAACTGAGCCTACAGCAGCTCTCCAGCTTGTCCACACAAGAGCATTTA